CGCTGTGGTGAGCAGACCGCTGCGCCCATCGGGCGGGCCACGCGCGCCCCCGCCTGCTACCCATCGGGGCGGGTCCACCCTGCTTGCTGCAGCTCCTTTACGTGGGCCAGACCCATGTGGAGGGAGACCCCCTTCCCCCCATGACCCCCCAATGGGACAGGCCGACCTGCGCTCTGCCTCTGGCTCCCCTGGGGCGACTTAGGCCACTGCCTGCTGGTCTCGCATTAGGGCAGATCCAGGGCCACGCGTGCCTGGGACTAACCTCCTAACTCCCTTCTGAAGCTTATAAAGCTCCACACAACGGAAGCCTGGATCCTAGATCGAACTGAAAGTCCTGCTCCTGCTGTTGCCTTGGCCCTTGAACTTGACCAGTTCTGAGGGCCCGGTCAGACCCCTGCCTTCTGACTGGCGTGGGTGGGGTATAGGACCAGATGGCCAAGGGGAAGTGGTTCCTTCTTGGAAGGGGAATGGGGCAGAGCTGTGAAGAAGCCTCAGACTGGTGACTTAAAGACTCTTGCTCGGTTTCCTCAAGTGAAAATGAGTACATTAATATAATTCTTCTGAGTTTGTCTCTGAAGATTAACCAGTTAATGAGTGTGAAGCCTTGTGCCTGGCACAGGGTTATTGCTTAGTGACCAGAGCCACGGTTTTTATTTTTATTATTATTGTCATTATTACTGTCATCACTGCTGCCAATATTGTTAATTTATTGGGAAGAATTAGCTCTTAGCTCCATGGTCAAACTAGACTCCAAAATGTCCCTCTTCCCTCCACCCCAGATTCCCCAATATGGATAATCCAAACACACAAACGTTTGTACTTAAACGTTTGTTCAGTGAATGAGTGACCACAGCCCATAGGAGAGAATGAAGGGGGGGAGGTTTAAGATATAGTGATTTTTTTTTTAAGTTATACATACTTGTTACTGAACATGGTTATAAGGTCCTAGATGCTCAATAACAAAACCAACAGTCGCTAATGTGTTTTTCCAGAATGAGCTTGTATGATCCCCTCCACAGCCCTATGAATGGGTCCTGCCTGTACCCCCATGTTGCAGATGAGGAAACTGAGGCAT